TTCCTTGGGCTGGGGGAGGTGTGGCCTGTGGCCCACCAGTTGCCCCTGTGCTGAGGTTTAGGTAGCATTGGCTCATAGGACCAGGGCCAGCCTGAGGCATTCTAGCGCTCTGGGCATGGGCGTGCGGCGCCGCCCCCAGGTGCATGGCGCATGTGCGGGCCCACCCGTGGGGAGAGGGCCTGCCCCCCTAGGGTGCGCAGGCCTGCCCCCAGGGTGCATAGCGCAAGTGCAGTTGCTGCTGGCGTGTGCACCGGGCCGTGTAGGGCGCCACAGCTGTGGGGGGAAGGGTGTTGCTGGCAGGCACCGTGGGGATGTGGGCAGGCTGGCGCTGCGGGAGCCGGCACGCAGTGCCTAATGGCAGTTGTAAGGGATGCCACATGCCCCTTACAGCTGCTGTCAAGCGCCCCCCATCGGTTGGCGCCCTGGGCTGCTGCCCGGCTCGCCCATGCCTCCGTCCGGCCCTGCATGGGACATGCCTTAGGGGTGTTTCAGTTGGCTGTGGTGTTGCTCCCTCCTCCCAGTTCTTGGCTCAGCTGAAGATCATGGACTACAGCCTGCTGGTGGGCATTCACGACGTTGACCGGGCAGAGCAGGAGGAGATGGAAGTGGAGGATCGGGCCGAGGACGAAGAGTGCGAGAACGATGGCATTGGCGGGAACCCTGTTGGCTCTTATGGAACCCCCCCTGACAGCCCTGGCAACCTCCTCAACTTCCCACGGTTCTTCGGGCCTGGGGAGTTTGACCCTTCGGTCGACGTCTATGCCATGAAAAGCCATGACAGTGAGTGAGGATGGATCTTGTCGCGTGGAGGGACAGGAGAGGGTGCCCTGTTTTGGGTGGGGTACATCCACAGAGAACTAACCCAAACCCCCTCCTGGGAGCCTGTTTAAATTCCCTTGTTTAAACTCCATGGAAACAACACTGTCCGTGTGGGATGTGAGGTAGATGTTTCCAGACGATACGTGGGCCTCTATTCTGTTCCCAATTCCTCTGTCCTACCTCGTACAGTCTCTGTCGTTTAAAAGCCGCTTCTCCCCTTGCCTGTTAATTATATTAAAGCAGATTTACATACGCTATTAATAGAGGCGCCTGCTGGTGGCTTTTCAGATCCTGTCACGTGGGGGGGGCTGTTAAAGAGACTCTGGTGTCTTCTCAGGTGCCCCTAAGAAGGAGGTGTATTTCATGGCCATTATAGACATTCTCACGCCATACGACGCGAAGAAGAAAGCTGCACATGCTGCCAAAACGGTGAAACATGGGGTAAGCGTGTCTCCTCCTGCCAAGATGGGGATTCTGGGTCGCACTGTCAGTGGTGCTGACTTTTGAATAATTGCTAAAACCAGTTTTCCAGGGGCCTGGAAATTTCCCCGCCACCCTTGATCCCCTTCCAGAATTGTTCCTTGACCTGCTGGTATCCCTTGTTAATCTGCTCACCAGGGCTCAGCCTCCTGCTCTGCTCTTGCTGACTCAGGGAGCAAGAGCTCAGGTCTCCCTCTTTAAACAAATCAAACAGCTGCTAAGATACTAGGTTCAACCACTGAGGGAACCTGTCGTTAATCGGGTGGGAGGGGAGTGGCCCACTCCAAGATGTTAGTACTTTTCTGTGGAGATGTGGGGTCTAGGATGGAGGCTGGGTACAGAAAGGCGCCTGGGGTAAGGGACGGGTACAGGAGACGGTGTGAGGTCTGAGGGAGTTGGGGTGAAGGAGGGGTTGTGACCTGGGTCGGGGATTGGGGTGCAGGGTCTGGGAGGGTGTGAGAGTGCAGGAGAGGATTCTGGCCTGGGGGAGCGATGGGTAGAAGGGGGTACGAACCTGGAGGGTGTTAGACCTGGGGCAGGGGAGTGCAGAGGGTTTGGATGGTGATGGAGGGGAGGGAGTTGGGGTGTGCGAGGAGCAGGGGTTCCAGAGGCAGGCTTTGGCTGGGAGGTGCTTACCTAAGCATCTCCTAGCCAGCACCCCTAAAGCAGGCTGGGCTCCCTGCCTGCTGCAGGCTATTCCCTCCATGTGGCGCCCCCTAAAGCACCAGGCCAATCTCTCAGGTCCTATTGGCCAGTTGTTTCCAGCCCATCGGAGCTGAAAGATTGGCTGGTTGTTTCTGGCCAATAGGAGCTGAGGATTGGGCTGGGGGATGGGGAGATCACACGCTTCCCCCTTCTTCCAGAGCAGAGAGCTGCTGGACTGCCCTTTAAATCTGCAGCAGCTGTGTGCCTTTGGGTCCTGGCGGGGTGGCCCTTGGGCCATAGTTTGCCCAGCCCTGCTTTTACCAGATCTCCTGCTCTTTCCCCAAATGACTAGTGCTGGCCAAGATGCCAGCCCTGAGAGCCACCGGATGTTTGCAGCACAGCCACCGTGCCTCAGAGCTGACTGGATAGACCTGCCTCTGGGATGAGATGAGAGATCCAGCTGCTTGGCTTTTCTCTCGGCTCAAACTGGGGTGACCCTGACTCACTGGAAAGTGGACTGAAACCCAGCACTTTGCTTTGCCTAGGTCACCAAACAGCTAAGTTAGTGGGCTGTGGAGCCTTTGATTTTCCTTCCAGATCCTCCTCTAACACACACACTCAAGTGCCATGCATCCATCTCTTAAGTAGAGCCCCAGACTGAAATGCCTTGAGATCCAAAGTCCAAGTTTTAGGCAGCTTAGAACCCACGTAACTTGTGGATTCTGGTTTGTGTGATTCTTGCTGCCGACCTTGGGTGGTGGAATAGTCTCTTGCTGTTTCCTCACACCCCCTTGGCTTAGCACGCAGTTACGAATGGTCCCCTGTAGCTTCCCCAGCAACTCAAGATCAGAGCCCCGCACCTTAATCTATCTTTCGTGCATTGCAGGCTGGAGCAGAGATCTCCACGGTGAATCCGGAGCAGTACTCTAAACGCTTCAATGAATTTATGTCCAATATCCTGACATAGTCGTCTTCTACCTTGAGCCAGAAAGGAAGAGGGGCTACTTCCAAGCAGAGAACGTGGCCTGTGACACTAAAACAGACACTGTAGCAGCACGTGGGGTGTGAGTGAGTGTGAGCATGTGGCACTGTATGACTCACAGGAAACTAATTAGGTGCATTCTCAAAAATTCCACTTGACCCAGGTGGAAAAGTGGCTTTTTTTCTTTTGTTACAGAAATGCCCAAATAGAGATTTGAGGCTTTTTTTTTTTTAAGAAAAAAAATTTAATTGTCAGCACTGCTGTTCATAATGACTTTTCTCCTCTCTGCTTGAGAGGTGAGTAAGGATACCATCTATGGCTGTTGAAAAGGGGTAGCTCTAACCTGCTGCTTGTGTTAAATAAGAGAAGCAATGCCTAAAACCACAAGTTGCTGTTCTTTTTTTAATGAACAGTTCATAACAGAAAGCTGTACAAACCCTTTTGTTTCCTTCTTGGTAAGAGTTTGGGGGGTGGGAGAAACAGTCTGCCACTTTCAAGGATGAAAAT